GGGGAACCTCTAGGTCGAAAATCCTATTTGGAGGAAAATGGGAGCAGTGGAAACATATCAGGCATACAAGTTAGCAAGAAAAGATTAAAAAAAAACAGAGAAAGAAGCAATTTTTATCATTAGCAAAATCACTGAAGATATTAAAGAATAGAAGCATATCTTATAATTCAGAAAGAAAAAGGAAAAAACAGTGCCTTATCAAACAGCCTCAATTTTCTTTAGGAAGGACAAATATTTATTTCATTTGCTGAACCCTGAGGTAATCAGATATATCTTTTTAAGGGCAATCATAAAATAATTGGACAAACTTGAAGGGTTTTGTACGAGCAAAGCCCTAAAGGCAGCAATAATACAGTCGGACTACACATAAAGGTTTTGTAAGAGAAATTTTCATTTTCATTACTGAAATGAAAATCATGAGCAACCTTGCATGACGCTTTGGAGGTTTGACCCAATAAGACAATGTTCTGAAAGCAGGATTGCAGGAATTTCAAAAGAGACAGCTCAACCAGGAAATATCCACACACTCCAAATAGGACATAAGAACGCCTGTCATATGCGCAAGACTTTTAAGTGAACATTTAAAACAAAAAAAAGATCTTGGGTTCAAGAGCATTTTCAGGCTTTTTCCTTGCAGATTTAATACATGTTTGAATATTTTTTTTTTTCATTGCAGGTATTTTGCTGACAAGTGAGGTTAAAGAGAAAACTACACTAACAATGAATAGACAAAACTGAAGTTATAAAACAGCATCATTTCCCAAATATAGCAAAGAGCAAGAAAGTTTGTTCGCCAGTTGATCTAGAACCAATTCATTCACAGGAAGGAGCAAGAAGAACACAAGCCCGAGGAGAAAAACGATGGAAGGGGTGGAAAGTTGGTGGTGCAGAACTGAAAGCAAATGGTGGGCGTGGTAGAACATGATTACATGAAATGGAAAAAGGGGTGCCAAACTGACACTTCCATCAACCTCCACCACACCTTGTATTGCTCCGAAAGCAGTAGGCCGGCTACTACAACAGTTGCAATCAATCACCCCCCAAAAAGAAGGGCAGTTCATCACATAAAGCTATTTCCTCATGGCATAACGAATTGCCAGCAACATGCAGGATCTCTAATAATTGCCATTTGACAGAAACCACGGGTTTTTGCAGTGGGCATACCGAAACAGTGGACAAAGGAAATTATGGCAACGTGGTGCCAGAAAGATACAGGCATCATAACACAAATCACAAATGAGCACATCATGACTACTCCGAAGGGAACACACCATAGAAATTGAAGTCATCTTTATTATGGAAGGAAAACCGAAGCTATTTCTCCTAAAAAAACCGAAACTATGGGCCTGAGCCTACAGAACTCCATGAAATTGTGGGGACATGAAAATGATGACCTACTATGATTGCACAGAATGGCGAGCTTAAATGACTTCTAAAGAAAGAAAGGAGAGGGAACAACTCCAATGACCAATATAATCTTTTAGAACTAAGAAACAGTCCCAGGAGCATAAGTCATCATAGCCTTAAAACTGGGACAAGATTAACATAGCATCCCATATGTGGCCGCCCAAACAATGTGACGGGTTAATCAACAATAGCTTGCGCTGCATTTAGCTAACCAATACACACACCACATAGAGAGAGACAAAAGTTTGAACCAAGAGAGACCCAGCATCTCGACACATAACCAGGCAACACTGCGAATCTACGATCATTTGCAGAGCCGCAAAATTCCCCAAACCACACTAGACTAGAACCCTAATCCACAACCACCGCGCGCGCTCCAAGCGCCCGCACCCCTGATCTCGCGCTCGCACTTGAGCGAGAACGGACCAGGAATCGCAGCAGCATTGCAAAGCCAGCCCCAAGATTTTAAAATCCAATCTTTCCTCGGAAGGAAACAACGAAACCGAACAAGCGACAACAATGCGTCACCTCAGAGAGGAGCCGCGATCGAAGCCGGATGCCAGGGCGGAGGAGTCGATCTCCGGCCGGCGGATGGGGCTTTGGCGTGATGTGATGCCACTGTGCCTGTGGGGAAGGGAGGAGAAGGGCTCATCCTCGAGGAGGCAACGGCGTTCGAATTAAAGCATCTCTCTTTCTCTCTCTTCCCCCGGGCAGGCCAACACTGAGAGAAAGTTACGGGTTTCTTCTTTTACCTCGGGGTTTGGAAGTAGGGGTTTAACTAAGTGCATGTTTGTTTTCAAAATTTTAAAATTTTTTAAGATTTTTCGTCACATCAAATCTTTAGACGCGTGTATGAAGCATTAAATATAAATAAAAAATAAAATTAATTACACAGTTTAGACGAAATTTACGAGACGAATCTTTTAAGTCTAATTAGACTATGATTGAACATTAATTATCAAGTAGTACCATTTCCCAAATGCTTTCACCAACTCAACGAGGCCTAAAAATTAACAAATGATTCTAAAAAAAATAAAATTAACAAACAAGCGTTTTAATTTTACTCATGTAAAGCACACAAAAAATTGTCTTCCTCATAAAATGTAATATCCTGTTCGCTTATACTAAAATTTAGCTTATGCTGATGCTTTTGCTAGGTTGATAGCTTATTCAGCACTACTTTTCAGTTATAGAATAGTATTTTTCTCTCACAACATTTTAGCATAAGTCAAATTTCAGCATTTGAGGATTATGTATATCTTTTTAGTAAAAAAAGATACTGTAATTTAGATGATACTCTCCTGCTAGGTTGCTAGTAGTATGCTCTCGCGGAATCGAATAAAAAACTGGAAGTTCAGAGCTTTACTGGAGTATACGTACGCCTTTCGGAATGACGGTACTCAAAGTGGAAGTTCAGCTTTGGCAATTGTGAAGACAAAGACAGCTTTAGCAGGGTGGCACATCCAGACGGACACTCAGGCATGGTTTAGTTTTTCCTAAAAATTTACACCTTATATTCAATATTTAGACACATACATAGAGTATTAAATATAAAATAAAAAATAATTAATTGTATAGATTATGATTATTTTGTGAGACAAATCTTTTAAGCCTAATTAGTCCATGATTTGACAATAAAGTGCTATAGTAACACATGCGCTAATAACGGATTAATTAGGCTTAATAAATTCGTCTCGTAGTTTATCGACGGATTCTATAATTTGTTTTTTTATTAATATCCAAACACCCACGCGATATTTTTATGTAACATCCGATCTGACACCTCAAAACTTTATACCCAGCAACTTAAAAAAAAGGCCTCACTGGAAAAGCAAAAACAACGGGAATCAATTTTCCCAATCGAGCATGCCGTTCCAAGAAAGAAGAAACAACGGGAACGGATTGTTTGTTTGTTTCGCCAGAGATTACACGTGAACGCGTAGTAAAATGTCTGACGGAGCAATGGTCCAGTGGCCTACTGGCCGGCCTGAGACAGCCGTTGCAACTTGTTTGAATTGATTGATACTGTCAATCTCTTCTCACCCCCAAGGTTCTCTATTTACTCTAAACAACACGACTAACTAGACGGGATCCACCCTGCTGAGCAAGCATTAAGTGCCTGTTAAGGACAAATTACGGCACAAATTTACCAGCTTTTGGGCACCTCCAGCTCTCACCTGTCGTACCAGGCAACAGACAGAGGGCTGTGTACAGGATTGAGTAATTATGCATTTATGGTGAACAGCAACTTACGTAGAGTAGTAATCGACATGGACTTGAATTGGCACTGTTTCAGGCAGGGGGAAATGAAAGGATCTGTCAGCCTCTGTCCAAAGGATCAACAATGAATTCCCCAACTTCTTCGTGGTCATATCACGTATTATGAAGTGAAGATGAACAGAAGTTCACTGTTTTTTGAAACAATAACAGAACTTCACTGTAACCTCAGTACAGTACACCAGGACCTGAGTTCTTGCTTCAACAGCCAGCAACACACTAGGGCCTTGTTTAATGCTATCCAAATTTCAAGTTTTTTCATTCTCTCTCTATCACATCAATTTTTAGCCGCTTCCATGGAGTATTAAATGTAGGTAAAAAAATAACTAATTACACAGTTTAGTTGAAAATCACGAGATGGATCTTTTGAGCCTAGTTGGTCCACGATTGGACAATATTTACCAAATAAGACAAAAGTGACACTATTCATCGGGTTCACTTTTTTTGCAATCTAAACAAGGGGTAGGACAAGTTACCAACAAATTGCTGGTAATTTGTTCAGTCGTTATTGATTCGTTTATGTGAGAGAGAAATGACCGATTGGTGATTCAAATGAATAGTGGCCCAAATGGCCAGCCTAAGGTGGTGTTTCAACCGATCACTTCCGCAAGTCTTTGCATGAAGGTGGTGTTTAGTTGCCCCTCCTAAATTTTTGTCGTTGTCCCATCGAATATTTTGACACATGTATGGAGTATTAAATATAGACTAATTACGAAATTAATTACATAGTTTGTGACTAATTTGCGAGACGAATCTTTTAAACCTAATTAGTCTATGATTTGACAACGTGGTGCTACAGTAACATGTGCTAATGACGGCTTAATTAGGCTTAAAAAATCGTCTCATGGAGTACTGACGGATTATGTAATTTATTTTTATTATTATCCAAATACCCCATTCAACATCCTCCCAACACAACTCCTCCCGACACACCTCCTAAATTAGTCACGGGATCCGAAGACCAAAGAACTAGACCTCGCAGGGTAAAAAGCCAGATTGGTCCCCCTCCCGTCCTCCGTTCAAATAACGCCATCCAACGCGCAAGGCATAAAACAATACAACCAGCCAATCAATAACCTGAACGGCCGATCCAAAAACTGGGGAAAGTTTTTATCAACACCATTGCCACCTGTGAATCCGTACGCTGCAAACTCTTCAAGGCTCACTTTCAAAAAGCAACATGTTCATTGTTGATTCAACATCAGTTAGTTATTATCAGATTACAACAAACAGGAGACAGCCATCTGAGTTCACCAAACGCTATTGACCTAGGAGATACAAGAACACGAGAGCTTATTGCTAGTGTACAGGCGGTTCTACTTTTCTCCTACTTCGAACCAGAAGAAAACAGAGCTACGGGAATAGATGGCCCGCACACGCTGCAGCGCGAGTGTTCCGTTCGTCCTGACGGCCTTCGCACCCCCTTCAATCCGGGTGCGAACAACAGTTACACCATGCCCTTGCTCCTTGAGGGATGGAAATGAATTGTACTCTATCGCTGTGCTGATTATTGGGAAGGACAGATAGTCCAGAGGGTTTTGCTCACACTGCAGCAAACACTCCTGAATAGTCAATTTACCGCTTCGATGCAGCAAGCAGCATCCAAGTTCTGCTCTAATAGTCAAATTTGCAATCTTGCATGTTGACAGGAACTCCAATGCACTGTTTGATAGGTCAATCAAAGGAAACCTAGGTAAGACTGAGATATTGATAAAAAAACAGCAAGATAAACAGAACCATATACTAGTTTGCAAGTTCACTATTTTCTGAAGTAGATAGAATCTATATTGCCACCTTTCGATGGAAAACAGACAATAGGTCAACAACTGTATCCTCTCAACTATCAGGCAGACATAAACTACTAACGATCCAATATAGTTGAATCAATAACCTTAAGTCAAGCATACAACACACACAAAAAAAAGGGGGCATACCCAGGGCTAAAAGCTTTTTTTTTTCTTGAACCCACAGAGAGCTGCAGAGCATTATATTAAGAAGAAAAAGGGGGCACACACCCACACATCCAAGATTCTAGATACACATATGTGCCTTTAACAAAAGAAAAAAAAACGACCACAGCCAGCAGTAGGCCTCAGTTGTCTACCAGCTGTAGAGCGAAGAGGTAAGAAATACCTCTTGCTCCAGCTATTTCCCACAGGGTGCAACTCCTCACTAGCGAGTAATAAAGTTCTACCTAAACTTGGAGACACACCATGAAACACGCACCTATTACGATATTTCCATAAGGACAGGCTCCCAGCACTAAAAGCTACCACACAAGGTCAGGTTTAGGGAAAGCATACAACAATCAATCATGATAAATTTTACTTTTCACCACTGCAACACCACATAAATCAATAACGTATAGATTCAGTTATGTTGTACACTTATACTGGTCACTGTGTCACTTAACATAAACAAACCTAGCCAATATGCTGCTGAGACAAATCTACAGGAAGCCTCATAATCATTTCATTTTTAAGGTGTACTAAAGGTAAAAATTTACAGTAAATTAAGAAACGTGACAGCAATCAATCTTGTAAAAGATGGACCGCCATAATACGACTATGAAATGATCATGAAGCAGAAGCAGCAGACAAGAAAAATGGCCACAAAAGGGAGGGAGCTTACTTGTCGAAGCCACGTGAGCAGGTTAATACAGTGTCATCAGGAAGATCACCCCCACCAATCTGATTCAAGTAAAATGGGTTCACAGTTGCACCCACAAAAAGAACAAATGTTGACGCCGAGTGCAGGAAGCATTCGTCAAATCAAATCTCTGTTGACATCTTCAGGACTCAGGGACATGGAAGGCAAAACTTACTATGCAAATAGGCTTCTTTATTTGGATGTTACACGCAACATGGGAACCACCAGCCGCAATAAGAATGGTGTCACCGGGCCTTCAACAAGGTACATGGAGATCAGCCATAACATCCGCTGTTCCCAATGAGAACTAGAGAGGGAGGGAGAGAAATAGACCTAGCAGCAGAAACAGCAGCCTCAAGATTTGGATAAACTCCAGGCTCCATCACATCTCTGATTGGCCTCTCAACACGCAGCCATAGTCGAGGGTGGCATGCAAGGAAGCGCCATCTGTGGCAAACGAGGGCGGTGTTATACCTATCTGCAGGTTCAACAATGAAATTGCTAAAAACAGCTCATTTTAAAGCACATCAGCAGTACATGTTAAAGTATAGATACCATCAAAGACAGTTCAAACATGTCACATCAAGGCAACTCTTACCACGGTTGTAAACACTTCCAGACATAAAAAACTTCCATATATTAGTAAACTAGCTATTGTAAATTGCTTTGAAAGATAATCTACACAAAAGCTACATTTGACATGAACTCAGAAGTATGACAGCCTATGGCAACGGCAAGAGGAACACAAATTGAATATTCCTCAATCTCTAGTTATATATGATACAAAAGCACCAAATCTATCTATTGCTACGAAACTACACAATCATACAAGCCATGTGAACAGTTATTGTCATCTATACTCATCTTCATATTTTACCCAAAACAGGAGCACAATTGCATAACTGCATCCACCAACTGAAGACATGATACAGCATCAGCACATCTAGAAGACTTCAGCAATCCAACACACACAAGAAGTATGAAACCAGTGCCGAATTAAACAGATCTTCCCACCATCCAATCTTGTACAAGCAAAAAAAACAGGTCAACCCAATTCTGACCCATTCTTCTTTAGCTCCGCCCCATCCGCCCCGATTACTCAAACAACTAGCGGAGCTAGTCGGAATTCCCACCGGTTACAGATTCGCCATTCGATTGGTTCTCCTACGAAGGCGTGGACGTGGAGGCATAGGATTAGGAGCGAATCGAACCTGGGATTGGGCTAAGGAAGCTGAAGATGTGCATGAGGCAGCCGTCGTCCAGGCTGTTCATCGGCGAGATCAGCTCCTCCACCACCGGCGCCAACGCGTGGCGACGGCGCTTTGCCATGCCCTTGTCCCCGCCCTCTCTCTCCTCCGGGACCGGGAGTGGTAGGTCGGCGACGGCGAGAGGACGGGATATCTTCTCTCACAACGAGCCCCCTGATTTTTTCCCTCTTCTGGTGGGCCCTGCCTGTCAAAGGTAGCCTCTTCACCACGCCCGAATTTTTTATTTTTTGACCCATTTTTTAAAGTTATTCACAGATATGACTCTGGAGGTATGTTTTCAAAATCTGGACCCTTAGCTCGGCGCCATCGTTGGTGGCGTCGAGGTTACACGTCTCGGTGCCAGAGGGTTTAGCGCCTATGGTCGGGGCCACGTTGGCGGCGTGGACGCTGATCTGGCAGCCAGCTCGACGCCGTGGATCTTGATGCCAAGCTTGGCGTCGAAGATCTTGCCATCGAGCTTGACACCAAAGATCCTGGCGCCGAGGTGGTGTTTTAACTCGGCGCCCAAACTTCTTCGCCCCTAACCTTCTTCCTCTTTTTTCTCCTTCCTCTCTCGGGTTTTTTCTCTCCCCACTTCGCTCTACCTCACGAATCGGTATATTGGACCTTGAAAACTTTGATTTGATCCGTAGATCTTCGAAAGCAAGGTATCCTCGCTCCCTCCTAGTTTTTTTTCATATTGATTCGGTATATATTAGTCGCATTTTTAACTTAAAATCATCTTTATTTAAGGTTTCATTGAATTTTAATATTTATATTATACAACCGTAGGATACCAAGACGTGGAAAAGCTAGCAAACCAAGGTAACCTCAGCGCACGTTGTTATGTTATGAGTTCATTGTTGTAGATCAAATGGTAAACCCTAGGTGTAGGGTTTAATATTAATTGCTTTCGGTTCTTCGAACGAAAATGGCTAAATTATAGTTATGGCCGAATGACCAGAAATGGTAAACCCTAGGTGTAGTTGTCGACCTATTGCCTCTGTCTAGGTGTTCCAGCGCCCATCTGCTTTTGCGGCGATCCTTGCAAGGTAGCCAAGTCCGATGAAGATGACACGTATAGGCAGAGGTATTGGATGTGTTTCAATTTTGCATTTGAGCCTACACTTCGTCAGCGTCGCATTAAGAAGATAATGATGAATTAATGTTGTGTAATAATTATTTTGTGTCATATGACATCTTGCATGATTTTTTTGTTTTATAACAATTACATTTGTTGCAAACCCTCCACCGCTCTATGATTTTGAGCAGTGGATCGACACTGAGATTGAGCCTAGAGACAAGAAATGGATACAGAAACTATTGCGGTAGGAGACAGATGACAGAAAGATGATGGAGAAGAGACGCAGAGTGGAGGCTGCAGAAAATGAGCACAAGGAAGAGGAAGAAAGGAGGTGTGTTGCTACGCAGGGGGGAGAGAGAAGAAGCTTGAGCATGCACGCCGAGAGAAAGCAGCAATGGAGAAGAATCATGATGCCTGAGAGAAGGGAAAGTAGCCTCGTTGCACTCAGTAGTCTCCATTAGTTGCTAGTTCTACTGTTCATTTATGAAAAATATTGTCTACTGTTGGACTTTTCATTATGTTGTCATATAATACACTTTAAGTATGGGCATACTTAGGTCATGTACTGCGTTATTTAGTTTGTCGGCACGTACTACTAGTATTATTGTGTTATTTAATGTGTTATAGTATTGGACTTTTTATTATGTAGTTGTTTTTATTATTTGTGGTCATAATATTCAGTTTAATATTATGGATGTAGTGAAATATGATCACGTGATGCAAACAAAATCTAACGAAGTATGGCATTATATAATTCAACACACACAACACATGAAATGGCATGTGAGAATATATATCGAACTAGGGTACAGAGGTCGTGAACTAAACCTAACATGCCTTAGGTAATTGAAGCGAACAACAAGCACACGAAATGGCGTGTGAGAAACATGTACCAAACAAGGGTACATAATTCATTCAACTAAACCTAACATGTCTTAGGTAATTAAACCAAACAACAAACACATGGATGTGCCATGTGAATAAGATAGGGTTGTCCTAGTAGTGTAGGCACATAGCAAATTGTGTTGCATCTTCTCCATGGTAGCCTCCCATTGTTGGTGGCGGGGGTGACGGCAGAGGCCCCTTGTTCTTGTGATTAGGGCAGATGCAATATGGATCATTGTAGAGTGCCTTCTATGAACTTGCACCATTGTTGTTGTCGTCGTCTTCATCTTCCTTGTACCTGCTGCTAACTTTCCTTTGTAGATCGAAGATTTGATCCTACAGGTAGTAGATGTACTGCTGATGCGGATAAATTGGTCGAGGATCGACCCACCTAGTAAACCCACAGTTTTCTTCAGACTCGGAAGACTATAATAAGTATGTCCTGTGAGTTGTAAGGGTATTCGAGAAACATATTTAACAAATGAAATGTAATAGCAATTACCCATGCTCGCGGGCATTTGAAGAAGCGACGACCTCCGTCGATCCCCTCGATGAACATCTGCACTAAGCAGTCCTCACCATGCATGCATTTTGGCCAATCTTCCTTCCTGTTATCATATCCTTTGAGAGAGAACTCTTTAGTGAAATCACTCTTGCTCTTGGGGAAAAACTGATACAATGGTTCATCAAAGAAATCAGGCCCAAGAGACCCCTCCCACACAATGGGAGTTCCCTTCGTCCCCCTTTTTCTCTCCCACTCCCGAAACTGATACACTGGTTCTTTGCATAAACCCTCCATGGACAGCGTTCCTTGTGCACACACAACTGTGTAACGGCGCTCCGCATATGAATGCAAGACCTTGTAAGGTCTCTTTCGTATCACTGCAAACGCCTGCAACCACCTCTTCAACGTAGGGAGGTCCTTGAATATCCTACCCTTCTCAATTACCATGTTAGGGCCGACCTCAGGAGCATCTAGGAGCTCATCATCATGTCCTTCTACACATGCCTGATCGGAATGAGCAAGATCGCTGAACTCGTGAACTCTTGGATCATGACGACCGAAAAGATACGCCTCAGCATCTCAACATCACTCTATGTCAACTCTCCAACAGGGCGATCATCATCAGAATCAAGAGCCCTTGTCATCTCATATGGCTCTGAATCATTCATAATTTCAATACTATTGGAGCCACGGAATCCATCTCCACATTACACTTTTGTAGCAAGAGGGGCACGTCCATATTGTTAGGAATGTCTTCTGCAACATAAGTAGCAAAATAAGAAAAGAATGAAAAAAATAGATGTAAGGAAGGGGGTAAGCTCTCAATAACCATGCGAATAAGACACTTACTCGGATGATTCTATGTCAAAGGGATCTCATAAGGAGGATCTGCCACAACATCATGAGTCTGACAAGTATCTCCAACTAGCTCATTGGGGCTAGATTGAGCATCGAGAACCGTAGGTGCAATCTCCATATCCATAGCAGGTTCCTTGATGGGAGGGTCAAAGTGTGCCTGCTGATCCATTGGTGGGGAAAACCCATGAGGATGGGATCAACTAACACTCGACGCACAACCACATTCAAACTTTATAATTGGCACTTCTGTAGCCGATCTCACATAGTTCTCCCACTAGTCTGCACATCCAATTGGAATCATCTTCCTTAGGATGTTGGGAGGGGAACCTAGGTGAAGTACACCCTTCACTGTGATGCCATCATCATCATCGGCTCCATGGCAATGTAGCTCCTCCCGAGCCCTTGCAACCAACTCACTAAATGAAGGCTTCTCATTGAATAACATAGGCATGCTTTGCATGTCAATAAACTCAATATATCCATAGCGATCTTTTTTCACGATGCCTTCATGATATATGCTCGCTAGGTTATCCATCTAGTAGTTCAAAAAATTGAAATATAGTTTGTTTACTCCTAAGTAGCTGCTATATAGCACCTCTCTAATACATACTAACCAACTACACCCTAAGTATATAAATACAATCTATTAACTATATAGCTAAATCCTACCTAAATAACTATGTCACTATCTATCTAACTATATTTATCTCACTAACTAAATCAACTAGCTATCTAATAACTATATCTATGTACCTATGTCACTAGCCATCTAACTATATTTATCTAACTATATCTATCTCACTAACTAAATCAAGTACCTACATCATCAAATTTACTAGAAACTACCAAATAATCAAAGTAGCACTACAATTCAAGCTAACTAAGTACCTACATTGCATATTCAAAAAATTTACCTGTTGAAAGCTCCTGTTTGGTTTTGGTTCATTGATGAAACCCTAAGTGCTAACCTAGTTTATCAAAGTGATTGTGAGATAGATAGCACTACTCCAAGTTATGATGCAATGGCGAAGATCATGACAATGGTGATGGCATGATGATGATCAAATGCTTAAACTTGGAAAAGAAGAAAGAGAAAAATAAAAGGCTCAAGGCAAAGGTATAAATAGTAGGAGCCATTTTATTTTAGTGATCAAGACACTTAGTGAGTGTGATCACATTTAGGATTGATAGTCATACTATTAAGAGGAGTGAAACTCGTATTGAAATGGGGTTATCAAAGTGCCACTAGATGCTCTAACTCATTGCATATGCATTTAGGATCTAGTAGAGTGCTAACACCCCTGAAAATGTTTGTGAAAATAAGCTAACACATGTGCACAAGGTGATACACTTAGTGGTTAGCACATTTGAGCAAGGGTAGGAAATTTCACCGGCGCCCTAGATAGAAAAGACGAAGGTCACTGAAAATGACCGGACGCAGGTCTCGGTTGGACCGGCGCGTCCGGTCAGTGGCAGTAGAGGGCGCGTGTTTCGGTCTTCGACCGGACGTTGGCGCTAAAAGTGACCAGACGCTAGCAGAGTGCGTCCGGTTAGTGCTGACGTACGCTGACATGGGGCGTACATAAGAGACGTTGAGTGACCGGACGCTGGGTGAGTCCGGTCGAGCATGACCGGACGCGTCCGGTCGTGAAATGTCGCGTTTGGAACCTTACTGGAAACGACCGGACGCTGAGGTCCAGTGTCCGGTCACTTTCTAACTGACGCGTCCGGTCATCATTTGACCGTTGAA